TGCTATAAAATAACACTTGTCTGTAACTAGCTTCATTAATTTATATTTAGTTTTATACGTACCTAAATAATCAGCACAATTTTCTTCCTGATAGATTACCCGGTTAACTTTTTTTAAGAGTGGAATTATTATTACCTACATTAGTTGTAAAACTCAATGTTGTGTTAATAAAGCGTAAATGATAATTTTTTTTAATGAGAACTGTTAGTTGCTGCTTAGGAAAACTAATTATTTTGAGGTTTTATGGCTATCTGCAATAATTAGAATCTATTGTTGTAGAATTAAAAATCGTTAAGAAAAAATTTGACTTCCTGTAATTCTTCTGATCATTATTTGTATTTTTATACCGTTTTTAAACAGCTCTGTTTTTGTCTTTCGTTGACAATCCTTTTTTGTACTGTCTCTTTATATTGTTAATATATTGTTAATATAAAGAGACAGTACAAAAAAGGATTATCAACGAAAGACAAGAACGGAGCTGTTTAAAGATCTATTTCCTAGTATATTTTTAAAGGTCACTTGAAACTAAAAGAACATGTTTCCAATAGCAATTTTAAAAATACTGCTTCAAAAACAATCTACCAATAAATTATGTAAATCCGTTGTTTGGTGCAACTGTCTTAATTATAGACATGCAGACATGCAAAAGTTATTTGAAAAACTCTTGAACAGTATTCAAATTTAAAACATGTTTCTTTGTTTATTTGCCAAACAAAATTTTTCTGTAATCTTTTAAAAAAAAATTTGAATTGTAGTAAAGACTTTTTTAAATCATAATATTGAATCAGATTATAGATTCGGGTTACTGATATTAGAACATTTTCTGCCTACATTGTGCGTAGTTTAGCTAAAAACTATTCCAAAGATCTTTAGTATTTAAACTTGACTTATGCCTTATAAATTTGTAAACGAGTAGAAAGAGTAGAGCTAGATTTAGATAACTGTAATTTTTTTGAAAAGTTCTGTACTTCTGCTCAATCAGCGTCAGAAAACACTGAGAAAGCAACTTATCTAAACCAATTAGAGTAGCATGTTGTCTGTTGAAATGAAGTTTTATAATCTGTACAGAATTCTTTCAGTGGTTCCTTTACGAAACCGTTCCACCTTCTTCACGCTTTTAGTTTATTTTATCATCACTGTTTGTAATATTTGCACTGAATTTTTCAAAAATATTATTGTTTGCCGTTTAAGCAGTGTCTTCGTTTTGGTATTCTTAGAAAGCTTTGAAAGCCAGCCAATACAAATTTTTGACGGTTATACTTGATATTTAAGATAGAAAAGGTCAAATCTTAAAAAGGTTTTTCTGTTAAAACAATTGCTTTTTCCAAAAAGGAAAAAAATTATTTAGGCTTAGTGAGATGTATAACATACTTTTGGGAACTGAAAGAATAGCAATGGAACAGTAAATTCGTTTTAAGAGTCGTTCTTTGGTAAAACTTAAAGCAATTCACTGTAGCGGTAGTTGTCGCATAATCTAGTTGAGAGGTTTTTTTGCTTTACAAATGGTTTGTTAATGTTGAACGTTTCAAAACTCTGATATATTGCAGAATTTGAAAACTGCTTATGCAACTTTGTGCTGCTGCTATTCGATCAAAAAAAAAAAGAGGTTGTCATGACATCAACTAAGCCCCTCCGTAACGCGGCAGTTTAATGACGACAACGACAAGGACATTACCTGACGACAAGCAGCAGCAATAAAGCTTGTGTCCAACGAAGCTTTTAGCGTGCTTAATAGTTGTGTCAATGTTGTTGTCGAATACTATTTATCCATTTCATTTCCTCAGCTTTTGAACCATTACCTATAAAGGCTTCAGAGCTAAACATAGCTGTGCTAAATCATCGTTTGCATTTGGATGACATCTGAGACATTCTGTACAGGAAGTCGTTTAAAGACTTAAGATAAAACTGGTCCTGCAAGAAAAATAGTAAAACGACTTTTTAAAGTATTTCCGGCCGCATAAAATTCGCTTTTTTTTTCTGTGGCACTCTTACTGTGTGTGATAATTGCTCTTTTTTTAATATATTTTTTCTTTTTGACGTTTTAAACTGCTGAATAACTTTGTGCATTTGAATTTTTTGACAGAATTTGTCGTGTTTTACTACAATGAGAATTAAGCAATGTGAAAGAAAAAAACAGATATTTTGCTAATTTTTCATGTGGTAGTTTAGTTTTGGCAGTCAAAAAACCTTGTGGAATTATTCTGTGCCGATTATGCTGATTCTGAGCTACTGCATTTGAAGATGGATTACTTTTGCTAAGAATATCAGCATTATCGCCATCTAATGCAAGAAAATCTTGTGTTAAGAGAAATAAAAAACGATTAATTCTGCTTATGCTTCAATCTGAATGTCTTAGTGATTTGCAGACATATATTCAAAGCGCTAGTTATTCCAAGAATAAGACATTACTGGATGATCTGTAATGCAGAAAGTCAGCTAGCAGTATTGCATAGAGATGTAAAATTGGAACAGAAACATAAAACCTTGTTGGATGCATATAAATTAGTTAACGCTTTTCTCTAATTTTTTTTAATCTACTTGCACTTGTCAACTGTTATACCGGCTCTTAAACTACCTTAAACACCAAGATTGTTTTCTATTTATACAAGATACAGCCACTTATTGTTTAAAATAATAATTCCTTTTCAAAATTTTAATAGTGATTGTAAAAGTAGCAGTTTATTGCAGCTGGAAGACAAGAATGATGCTGATATTCGTATGTATCAAAATGAGATTGCGCGTCTCAAGGAGGCAAATCAAGATTATGCATTAGAGATTTTGAAGCAAGACCATATTGTTAGTCGACTAGAACAAAACCAGTTACAGGTTAGTGGTAACAGCAACATGGATTCTTTATTACACTGCATCGATCCTGATTCCAAAAGCAGTTACTCTATGAACGAAGCGTCTAAAGAGCGTCTTTAAAAATCTTTATTAAAAGAAACGATTTGAATCTGTTTTAGCTCTTTATTTCTCTTTAATCTTCAATAAAAATTTCTATCTTGGTTGTTGTAGGCCTGACGCGAATACGTCACAACTTTTCACATAAGTAAAGCTTTGCTCTATTTTGTATGTAAGTAAACTACACTGATGACTTAACTGACCAAAATGCAATGCTACAATTATTTGTAGAAACTAGAAAATGAAAAAACCTGTAGAGAAGGACTGGAAAAGCTGATAAGCGAGTTGCGTAAGAGCAATAATGAATATCAAAAAAAGTTAAATGGACTTGAACAAGAGGTGAAAAACAAGGAAAAGGAGTTTTGCGTAAAAGAGTCTAAACTTCGAGAAGAATATGATGCTCAAATAGAAAAACTTTACCTACTCAAGGATGGAGTAAAATCGTTAGTTGAAATTTCTTTGATAAATTTCTAAAATTTAAGATCGTCGCTTTGCCGATATATATTTGTGAAAAGAATTATTATAAGTTTTATATAGTATAGAATATTGGTAGAGATCAAGAATCATTACTTTGTGACAGAAATTACATTAAAAGACAGGAACAGAGTGAGAAGTACAGAGTTCAACTGGAAAGCGCTTTGGAACGGTACAGGTTGTTAGAAGAGAGATACTACGCATTGAAGAAAGAATCTGACGAAAAGGCTCATAAAACCGACTCGAAGCAACGAATTCTTGAAACGCAGTTGATAGAGGCAAAAGAACGATGTTCCAATATGGTAACAGAACAGCAAACGTAATCTTCAATCTGTGTTTCATTTTCTCATAACACTTCTTCTAATTGCATAGTGATGCACAAAATTTTTTATATAATGTTAAATATATATTAAAATTTTGTTCAAAAAACTTTCTTCTTCAACTTAGCCTAATTCAGTCATATGGTAGAAGTGTCAAAGTTTTGAGAAGCTGCACTCTGTGAAAGCTGTGCTGAAGATTTTTAGAAATTTGAGAAACAGAAATTAGTGGTTTAAGAAAGTGCTCTAATCATTTATCGTCTTTACCTCGCTATTTTCTCAGTAGAGGGTAAAAAGTTTTTTGCTCATTGAAGTTAAAAGCTGAAAAAATACCTTTGCTTTCCTCAATATCATTGCTTTTATCTTGCTTTTTTAGCGCTTTTTAGCTTCAAATTTGTTTTGCAGATTACTGGTGGAAAAAAAACGTTATGCAAAAATTGTGGAATCAAAAGAAGTTGAACTGGAGGATCTAAAAAGGTTTAAATTTTTTTCTGAAGATTTCTTGCAGTTTACTATGAATTAGCAGTAAAACTTTTGACTCTAACATGAACTTCGACCCGCCAGAAACTCTATTGTTAGACGACAGAAAGTCCACAATATTACTTTACTGCCATTTCATAGTTGGCACGAAATTACACTTTGATAAATATTCAAAAAAAAATTTTTATTTAATATCTAAAAGCAGTGAGCAGATATCAGCATACAGTGTTTCACAAATTTAAGCCTAAATGAAAGATTTAATCAGTTTTCAAAATTTGATTGCTGTAACTATCTCACTTGGACTTTTAGTATTTTTGGTTTGTCTCGCATTCTTTCAATTTTTTTACTGTTCACGTATTGAGTTCAAGATTTCAGGAAAAATGACCAATTAGCATTATCCGCAGTTAGTCTAAAGCTTGAATTGACAAAGCAAGAGTCAGCGCACAGCAGCGAACTGATCGACATTTGTCATGAAACAGATACAAAACTTACAAAATTGGAAAGTTCAATAGCAGAACTACAAAATACTGTAGAAGGTACTTATTTTTGATATTTTTAGGTGTAGTAAACGCGTCCGTTGTAATAAAATAACTTCAAAAACGGTAGATTTCAAAGCAAAATACTGTTAGCTAATCTGAGAATCCAAAGAACACAAATATATTATAAATGCAATAATGTTCAGCGCACAAAGAACCGCTTTTTTTAAAGTTTTTACACCACCCATTTTTTTCAAAGAGTTAAGGAAGTTAAGATAATTCTTAGCACACAAGTATCAGAAGTACATCTCAGTATATTTCTCGTCACTATTTGTATAGACAGCTGTAAAACTAAAGTATTCCTAATGAACTTTGAGCTTTTTGTAAGCAACGATTCTGCAGTATTAAACCGACTCCGCATAACTGCTGTGTTTATTGATTTCTTGAGACAGTAACTAAACATAAAGTTAAAAGCAGAAAGACTGAACTGATACATAGTTGAGGCAGTATTTATATTAGACCTTAGCGATCAGTCTGGCATTTTCGCCAGTCAATTACGCACTTTTTAGAGATCGAAAAATTACCAGCAAAATATTGCTTCAAAACTAGGGCCACATTTTTGGTCATTCTTACAGAAACGCAAATTTATACTGTATTTGTAGCCCTTTCTATTAATCTATTCTTGTGTAAAAGACCATGATAAACGAATATGACAATAGTATTTACGTAAACAACAAAAGCAGTTTGTTGCATCTCAAAAACGACATTTTATTTTGCAAATTTTTGCTGTTATTCAACATTACAAAAATTTCATTATTGTTCATATTGAAAGTTGGTAGATTTATCAAATCGTTTTCAATTTTTATCACTTTAGGTATCTCTGTGTCAAATGTTACAGTTAAAATGTCACTGATCAGTTTACCTTAATAGTGCTACTAAGCTTTCAGAATTGCAAAAAAAATTGTCTGATAGCGAAAAAAAACTTGATCAAAAAGAAACTGAAATCAATGACTTGAAGAAACAAAATAAACAATTAACTGTCGAAATGGAAACTTCGAAACCAAAGCTATTAGCAGTTGAAGCTGAAAGTCAAAAGCAACTAGAAAATATGCAAATTCAAAGAGATAAAGCGTTACGACAACTTCGAAGTCAAAGGTATCATCGCTAAACTGCTATACTGAAAGGCTTCAGAACGTTTAATTAACAAAAAAAAACTTTTTTTCAGAAAAAATGTACAAAATCTGGAATACAAAGGCAAAGAAATTAAACATTTGGAAAATGTAATACGAGAACGTGATATTGAAATGCAAAAGGTTGTAAAATTTAAGTTTTGTACTTAGAAATATTTTTTTTCTTGTATTTGACTATAATTTACACTTAATAGTGCCATTTTGTAATGGAGAATGTTACCTTACTCACCTACCTTTTTTCATAGAAATGAATATTTGTAAGGTACTTTTTGATTACCACTGAAAAGTAACCACATTTTAGATGAAAAAACATTACAAGGACACGCTAAAAAAGATGCAAAGAACAATAACAACCATTGAATGTCGACTAGTTAGAACGAATCATCAAATTAGTGGAAAATGGTAGGTTGTTAGCCAACAAGCAGTTTTTTTAGATTTAATTAATCGCTAAAAAATGTTAAGCATCTGAAAAATATACTGCTTTTTAGGTCAACGTCGGCTTCTGACAGTAGTAATGAAGCAGAAAATCTTTAGAATCTTTGGCTCACAACATTCACCGTTTGTTCTTTTATCTGGCAGATTTCAGTAATCTTGTCTACCAAAGTTTTATTTTAAAGCTAATTACTGCTGACCAGTTTGTAAACGCCAGTAATTTAGATTAACCATCGTTGTACTCCTTAAGTGTTGTAATCAGAAGATAGGACATAAAAATACGGGTATTCTTCGAATGACAACAAATTTTTTTTTTGTACTGTTCATGCTTAGATAATTTTACGAGAAAATTAGTCATACAAATTGTTTAGACACAATCCACTTTTTTATTATTATACGTTGTCTTAGTTTAACTGTGCAATAAAAATTTTTGAAATCACTAATTCAGTTGTTGAGTTTTAGTAAAACTAAAATAAAAACCGCCGTTATATGAACTGGAAACAAAAACAGCAATAAATTTTTCAACAGAATTATCCCAAAAATTTTTTCAAGAGAAAACTTGTAATTATAAAGCCATACAAAGTAAATTTAATTATACTTAGATTATCTATTTTACAATATACACCGTTGAAAGTTCTGAAAAACATATATAATCTTTAATCATCACTTTACTTCTTCTTTCAACTTTTTTTTTCTCTTGTTCTAAGCCTTTTTTTGTCTCAAAAAGTCTAAAATAAAAAAAATACAAAATTTCTAGCTTACCAGTTGTTCGTTCAATTTTCTAGCAGAAACAACTGATTGTTGGTCTTTGCATATCACCACCATCACTTTTTGAAGGCTTATTTTTTTAGTCTTTATTTCACACCACCGAAGTTTATTGATATTGTTTAAAAATAAGTAACAAAAAGCACCTGTACTTTCCAAAAAGCTTATGTTAAATTTAAGCAAGAACAGAAATCATTTAAAAAAATTATTATATCCATTAGCAGTACACAGAAATATACAAAATTTTACATGTCACTATTCATTCCAAACATAATTTGTCAACCAAAAAATTTACTATTTCTTATTAACTTTCACATTTAACAATAAATAAAGTTAGAAAAAAAAACAAAAGAAAACTCAAAAAATATAGACAAAAACAAAAAGAAAATTGTAAAAAGTAATGTTTTAAGTCGCTACATAGAGGCAGCACAAAAGCGTTGAACGCCGAGCAATTGATAGCCAACAGAAGTAATGCCGAAGAATCAGTTGCATACCGATAGTGCTGGACAGTACTTATAATGATCACTGCTCATAATTTCCAGGCATTTCTCATCATTAGGTCAAAATACACATCTGTATCAATTGAGGCAGATATACCAGCATAATAATTCAGAAATTCTTCTTTTGTTACCTGCAAAGTAAATGATTCCAATAAATTTCAATTGTTTTTCTTTTTTCTTTTTTTGGTAGCATTTAGAAGTGACAAATGTATGTCGGAGAATATTGTAGATTAGATAAAAATTTCCATAATTTTTTTATCCAAATTATATGTTTTTTTTTAAATTGTATATTCTGTTTTTCTTGCACTAACATTTTATTCTAGATCAACTGCTTATTTGTGTAATATCATCCTATTTGTACAAACGAGCATGGTTTACAAATAGTGAAAAAACTGTAAAAGTGTGAGTTTGAATATAGTAAAATTAAACACACCTTGCCGTCAACATGACCATCAACTTCAAAATTTGCAAGAAATTGCTTGAATAGGTCTTCCTTGGTTTTTTCACCAGATATGTATTGCGGATGTCTTTGATAATTATAAACACCTTGCATATCATCTACAGTAACGACACCATCGCCAGTTTTATCCAACTTTTTAAATGCTTGATCAATTATGTCTAGTCGGGCTTTGGACATTGGAGGCTAAAACTGTATTCTTGCATTTTGCTTAAGCCTGAGTTTTCGCAACATTTAATCTTTAGCTATATTTTTACAAAGAAGCAAACAACAAAAAGCGTTGTTTTGCATTAAAAATTTGGCTACACGTTTTTAGTAGAATTATCATAGTCATTTTCTGGCCGGTTTCACATTTCCGACATGTGCAAAAATATAAATAACTAAAATAAAATTTTTTTTCTTATTTTAAATTATTTATTTAATACTCAAACCATTTAAAAGTCTGGCAGTTTTAGAGCTAACTGTCAGCATTAAAAAAAAAAAACAATTTGCGATCACAGAACGCCACATACTTCCTTTGTTTATGTGTTAGAATCTTTGTTTTTGATTTACCAATTTGGTAAATCAAAACAAACTTAATATGTAGCCAAAAAATAAGTCAAGAAAAAGAATTAATTAAAATATTCAGCGAGAAGAAACGAAAAAAAATAAAAAAAGATGATCCTCTACATAAAAAACTGAACAAAATGACACTTTTAGTAGCAACAGATGTATCACATCTGATCAACAATTTTGGGTCACTCGTAAAATTATTACATTTTTTTAGACGTATCATACTGTAATTGTTAAATTATAAATTGAGTGATATATTAAATTTCTACAAGTTTGTTTCTACTATTTCTCAAATAGTAATTGTTTTGCTATTTCACTTCTGAAAAGGTTGAAACGCTAATTGAATTTTAGATTCTGGAGCAAGATATCGAATTTTTTGCTTTTGAAACTAGTTATTTTCCTGGATAAACTATCTTCCCTATTATTGAAGCATGTGAGTGTTAGATAGCTGCCAAATCACTCCAAATTACTCAGAAGATTTTGCGTTAAGTAACTGCCTAAGAAAGCTAATAATTCTAAAGATTTATAAAGTGTTATTTGGTATTAAGCTTTTAATAAAATAACGGTCCAAGAACCTATCGAAAACAAAAGTAGAATACCTCCAGTTGTGTTTAAACGATAGATTATTCCCCGATGAGAGCTACATGAGTGTAATAGTATACGTAGAATCTATTATATAATAAACAGTAATTTTTAATAATTAACAAAAAAAAAAAGTGTTCTAAATTTAAACTGTTTGATTACTGTTGGTAGAAATTAAGTTACTTACAATCAGTCTAACGTTTAACAAAGGACTACTAATTTGCAAAAATTGTAGTGTACATTATTTCTTGACCTCAATTTAGTAATAGTAGCTGTAAAGTTTTTCTATTATGAAACATAGAACTTACAAATATAGTCAACTAAAATTTTAGAAGTTTGACGTAAAAAAATCTGAAGTTAATATTGCTGCTGAACAACAGACAATGTCCAGTTATTTGCCAGATAATGGCCTAAGCACGTTTTTTTTTTTGAGGAAATCTATCATTTTGAATTTTAACTACTCTGCTGCGTTCTGTGCTGTAAAAAATTACCTTCAACTAGATACCGATATGTTCAAAAGATATTTGAAGTTTTATCTCTAAGAGATGAAGTCTGGAAGACCAACTGTCATCCGAGATTAATTTTTGACAATTATTTTCGCTTTCAAGTATTAGAAACTTTTTTTGCGGAATAATGCCAGTTTTTCAATTTTTTGTTCGCATTATTCGGTTAATTATAATCGTTTTTATAAAAGCAAAAAAAATTTATGCTTAAACTAAATTAGTTATAAACATTATAAGGCATCAAATTAATCTGTCACTAAAATTCTTTTGCCACATCTAATAATCTGCAAAAATTGGTGTAATAACAATTTTACTGCTAAATTCGTTTAAGCTAACTAAAAAAAAAAGAAGGTAAATGAAATTGTGACGGAAAAGCAACTTTTAGCTTTGATTCTGTATCAGAAAATTAATGAAAAAAAAAAAAAAGAAAAACAAATTAAAAGTTGTATTTGGAATTTACCAATTACCAGTCTAATCAGTCTTTGACTTCTTGCTCAGTGTATTCTGATTTTAAACCGCTGGAAAGCCTTTGTAATTGTTGAACCACTAATTAGAAATAAACCTAATTAGATGTCTAATGTTAAAAGAAGAAAAAGTCCAAGTCCAACAAAAACAACAACAACAAAAAATAATTAAAACTCAAGTTTGAATAAAGCCAATTACTAAATGCTAACCAGCAACACTCAGCGAAACATTTGATGGTTTAAAAATATTAAAACGAAAAAAAAATTTAAAAGAAAAAAATAAACAATTGCCAAATACTAATAGTTTACAGTCAATAAAGTTGTCATTTAATCATTCAACTATCGTTAATCGATGCTGTAATTTCCAAAAACACTTATTTATTTATTTTTTCGCTAACAGTTTTCCCTAAAATAAACAGCACAAAATCTTAAAAAAATTGAGCAGAAAGAAAAGCAGATAAAGTAAAAACTAAAACAGAATATAAACTTAAAACAATTGAATATTACCCGAAGTGCTAACAGAAATTCATCGAAATCTATGAAGCCCGAATTATCTTTGTCAAATCGGTTGAATGCACTGCTAACTTCAGCTTCGTCCATTGTGACACCAAAATCCGCTAATCCCTTCTTGAATTCATCGTAACCCAACTTTCGGTTTTCGTTGTCATCCATAATGCGAAATGATCTTCAAATGTATGCCATCTGGTTGATGCTCTATTATTTTGAGTATAATTTCATTTTTTTTGTTTTTGTTTTTTCAATTCTCTTTTTTTTTTTTATTTTTGCAAGGGGAAATAAGACGGAGAAGAGGCGAAAAGCAGGAAGAACTTAAGCCATAATTCAACTGCTTCGTCTTCTCATATTTCTTACTGTCACCGATAGCTACGCATGTTAGTCTTATAGTTCACTGTTTTCTTTTTTTTTTTTTTTTTTTTTTTTTTTTTTT